ATGAATCTTAAAATAGAATCATTACTGAGTTTAAAATCAGCAGTAGAAATTAAAGGGTTCCATCTATCTATCCTGAAAGTCAGATCTTAATCCTAGAAAAATACTGGATAGCGAGGAAATTGAGGAAATATTGCCATTGAGTCATTAAAATCATCTATCTATCTATCTAGACAAATTATTATCTATCTATCTATATCTATCTAGAAATTATTTATCTATCTATTAGGATTACATTCATCTATCGATCTAGATACATAAATCTATCTATAACTAATCATCTATCTATCTCAAAGCTTTATCTTAGCTTATTATCAGATAGCATCTACAATTTATTCATTCATCTATCTATGGGGAGGAATCAGAAGAGGAAGAGGATTTATAATCTAACTAGATAGCTAGCTATAGGTATCCATTATTTAATTCATCTATCTATCTATCTATCTATCTATCTATCTCAATTCTATATCTTCCTAGTTATCTAACTAGATAGCTATCTATCTATCTATCTATTCATCTAAGAATTCATCTATATATTCATCTATTCATTCTAGATTAGCTATCTATCTATCTATTCATCATTCATATCATCTATCTATTCATATCTATCTATCTCATCTATCTATCTATCTTCCTAGTTATCTAACTAGATAGCTAGCTATTTGAGTATCATCATTCATTCATTCATCCTATCTATCTATCTATCTATCTATCTATCTCAGACATCTATCTCAATTCTATCTCAACCTAGCTATCTTCCTAGTTATCTAACCAGATAGCTAGCTATCTTTGATATCTATCATTCATCTATCTATCTATCTATCTATCTATCTATCTCATTTATCTATCTATCTATCTATCTAAATCTATCATATCTATTCTAGTATCTATCTTCCTATCTATCTAACTAGATAGCCAGCTTTTTTGAGTTTATATTCATTTTATTCATCTATCTATCTATTCATATCATTCTATCTATCTATCTATCTCAAAATTCATAGTTAAGGAAAATATTCTTGAATATCATTCAGGATCTATCTATCTATCAAAACCAAACCATACAACTTAGGAAGTGTATGTATATATATGTACGTATATATGTATGTGTGTATACTGATTCCTTGTAACTTGGAAAGTATATGTATATGTATGTATGTGTGTGTGTATTATAATGATTCCTTGTAATAGGACAGTAGTGTCATGTAGATCTGCGTATGTATACCAGAGATTCATCTTTTGAGAACACTACACAGCATAGGAAATGTGTGTATATGTGTGTGTGTGTTTGTGTGTGTGTGTATATGTGTGTGTATGTGTGTATGTGTAAAAATGTGTCTACTAATTCCTCGTAATAAGACAGTGTGTATGTATGGCGAGGGAATATACATATAAATACGCATGCTGTAAAAACACAAGAAAATGAAAATTTTCACTTTCAAATATTTTCATTTGTACTCCCTTATTTCTTAAAATAATTACGAGCATTTATGATTGCTATTGCAATATATATATATATATATATATATATATATATATATATATATATATATATATATATATATATGAAACTTCTCTCTGCCGGGCAGAAAGAATTTTAAAGTCTCTTAATCTGTTGGGGATATTTTATTTTAACTGTCCTCGCTAATTTATTTACACGATTATTTCTTCCCCTCGTTACAAGTATATATACTTGTTTGTTATTTTTAGTGCTATCTTTTTTTTTTCTATCTTCATTATCGTTATCTATCTATATATCTTTTCGCTGATCCAACGATTGTCTCCTGATGAGATGTTAACTGAAAGGGCCCTAGAGACTTTTAAAATTAAAATCAATGCATTCTTTGTTTTTATCTAAATCTATATATAAATTTTGTACTATCTCCAAACATTTGTTTATATATATATATATATTATTTTGTATGCGCTGTATTTAGTTTACATCTATCTATCTATCTATCTATCTATCTATCTATCTATCTATCTATCTATCTATCTTGGAAAGCGCTCAATATCAGAGAGAGAACTAATATATTCAGTTGTATATGGATATGAGTTTAAAACCTCTGTTTCGCTCTTTGCTATCATCAGAAAAATGGTTTATTTTTTAAAAATAGATTAAATTTTTAAAATGAACAAGATTGTCTGATAACTGCAAAAGCGTGAAACAACAAACTCATATCTTTTGCAATTGAATATTATATATATATATATATATATATATATATATATATATATATATATATATATATATATTGGGGAAATAAATATTCATACACATACAAATTTTAATTTATTGTATTTCCAACTCATTAATAACATACTTATCATATAATTAACTATACCCAGATGCATAATAACTAAATATACATAGAAAACAGAAAAAGTTAATTTGACAGAAATAAACCCATTTATCCATTTTAATAGGTGAAAAAAATTGAATGTACAATACAAAAAGAATACATACTCTTCATTTTTAATACATTGTAGATATATAGCATTATTCACTTCTACAGCAACTATCTAACCTCTCATTGTAGAATTGTCCATTACTGATTTGTCAAATTTTTAGTTCGTATTTTGTTCCATTCTTCTTAGCATATGGTCTTCAGATCCAGGATGTTTGTTGGAGTTCTCAAGTGGATTTCAATTTTCAAATTACGTCACAGATTCTCGATCGGGTTTAAATCTGGGAACTGACTTGGCCATTTCAGGATATTTACATTAATTTTCGCAAGCCATTTCTTCGTAGATTTTGCAGTTTGCTTAGGATTATTATCTTGTTGGAAGATCCAATCAGGATTTCAAACGAAATCATCAAATTTGCTTCCAAAATATTTTGGTATGCTGCGTCATTCATTCTACCATCAATTGCAGATATGTTGTCAGTAACTTTTCTAGAAAAACATTCCCAAATCATGATGCTGCTAACATCAATTTCAACCTGGCATCTCTGTATCTTTTCAATAGCAGTGGAGTTTTCGGAGGAGAACTTGACTTTAGATTGTTCCTACGAATTTCATTTTTTATTACTGACAAAAATTCCTGAAGAAAGTAAATCATCCTTGACTACTAACCATTGGATTTTGTTTAATTTAACACGTTAATTTCCTAACACTATTGGAATCTAGTTTAAGCAAGAAGAATTACTCTCCTTGGTTAACAGAAGAATCGTTATGAAATCGATCATAAAAGAAAATAAAATGATGTGTTCATCATTATTTAATCATAGCTAAGGATCGTAAGCTCATGAAAGATTGAAATGAAGTTCATATATATATATATATATATATATATATATATATATATATATATATATTTGTGTGTGTCTCTGTGTATTTAGGCAGCATTCTTTCATTGATGCATGTTTCATTAAATAATATAGACAAGTGTTGCTTATTTATTTTATGTAAATTCTTTATCAGACTATATGAAAAGAATTTACATAAAATAAATAGACAACACTTATCTATCTATCTATCTATCTATCTATCTATCTATCTATCTATCTATCTATCTATCTATCTATCTATCTATCTCCCAGTATCATTTTCCAACTTATTCAAGATGACCTACGCCCTCTCTAACGTTCTAACCTTATGTCCTGGAATAACAAGGTGCTAAATCAAAAATGCCCAGCGTCGTTTCCATTGATTTAACCTGACTCTTGTAGACATAGAGCATGGCAATAGGAGTCAGGTTCTCTCTGTAACAGCAAAAGGAACCGACTATTCTTGCATCATTTTTTTGCGATGATAGGAATAGCAGAGTTACACGTGAGGTCTGCAGTGAGCTTTAGTTTCAATAGATTTTTTTAACTTTAAGTTTAAATTTAATTTTTTTTGTTTTGTTTTCTTTTTTTTTAATCATTTCACTCCAATCAAGGCAATAATGCCACTAAGTCTCAAGAGGTTATTGGGATTGAAAGAGAATCGGTGTAAAATTTTAATGTACAGTCTAGTCGACCTCATATAGCTTACGATAGTGTTTGTTTTTGTTATTGTTTATAAATATTGCACATTGAAATAGCAGAAGTTTTATTAGGAAAGTTGATATGTAGGATGGACCTGGAATGTTTGAAGAAATTAGAAATTCATACTTTATTAACGGCTTTTATTTGTCAACATTATTCCTTCTTTCATTCTTTCGCTTGCATTGCCATCTCATTCTTATTCTTTCTTTCTATCTTTTTGCTTCCAGCACGTCCTACCACTTTCTTTCTTTCTTTCTTTCTTAACTTCCCTCGTTTAGTTTTTGCTAAATTTATTTTCTTTCTTTTTTTCTTTCTATTTTGCTTTTTCTTTTTTCTTCATTGCTTATATTCCATGCTTCAATCATTATGCTACCTTTTTCATTCGTTCTTTCTCATCCCTACATTGATATCCGTTTTTTCTTTCTTTCTTTCTTTCTTTCTTTCTTTCTTTCTTTCTTTCTTTCTTTCTTCTAATTACCTCCTCACTTCATGCTTTATATTTCATTCGTTTTACATCCAGCTATACCTGTCCCCTACTTGCATTTTCTATCTATCTATCTATCTATCTATCTATCTATCTATCTATCTTCCAGCATTTCCTGTCCCCGATTTGAATTTTTCTTTCTTTCTTTCTTCCAGCATTTCCTGTCCCCGATTTGAATTTTTCTTTCTTTCTTTCTTTCTTTCTTTCATTCTTTCTTTCTTTCTTTCTTTCTTTCACCATTTCCTGTCCCCGATTTGAATTTTTCTTTCTTTCTTTCTTTCTTTCTTTCTTTCAGCATTTCCTGTCCCCGATTTAAATTTTTCTTTCTTTCTTTCTTTCTTTCTTTCTTTCTTTCTTTCTTTCTTTCTTTCAGCATTTTCTGTCCCCGATTTGAATTATCTTTCTTTCTTTCTTTCTTCTTCAAACTTCGCCTTTCACTTTCTACCTTCTTTACTTTCTTTCTTACTTCCATCATTTCCTGTCCTCAACCTGAACATTTCTTTCTTTTTTTTCTTTCTTTCTTTCTTTCTTTCTTTCTTTCTTTCTTTCTTTTACTTACCTCTTCACTTCGGCCTCCATCTCTTTTCTTTCTTCTTATTTCCATCACTTCCTGTCCCCTACCTGCATATTTCACGTAATAACGCGGCCTCCAACAAGCACCTCAGATCAAGAAGAGTACGTGCGTGCATCACTTCCGTCTCTTTTCCGGTTGTCCTGACTTCCTCGCGTAGCGCGCGCTTAGCTCGCATCTCCCATGCGACAATCCTCCATGGCCTGCATCATGGACGTTTCCGCTAAAAACCTTTAATAATTTGTGTCACGGGGCATCGTGTGGCCATGAAAATTTGATTTTGATGGAAGACATCTTCTCATTTCTCAAAGTCCAATCTCATTCATCATATGCGACTATGGGTGGATTGGATGAATCTATGGCGAATATGAGATGTTCTGCGCATGCTCATTGACTTGATTATCTGGCTGCACCGAATATGTTTCATTGTTTGAGACGCTGTGGCATAATTGGACATTTTCTTTGCTTTCTGTAACTTTTTCTGTGACTCACATCTAAATGTTTGTGTTTCTTTCCCTCTTTAACAATAATTCGATCCATCAGTCAATTTACATTATTGGCCGCTCAGTACATCTATCTATCTATCTATCTATCTATCTATCTATCTATCTATCTATGAGTCGATATTTGTCAATACTATCTATCTATATCCATTTACCTATGACTTTATAATATCTTTGAGTCTATATCTATCACTACTTTATCTATCTATCTATCTATCTATCTATCTATCTATCTATCTATCTATCTATCACTTTATACTTACTATCTATCGATCTATCTATCTAGATAGATAGATAGATGGATAGTATATATTCAAAGATAGATCGATAGATGTATATATATATATATATATATATACATCTATCGATCAAT